AGGATGAGTTTGTTTCTTCATCAGATTTGGAGAAATGTGTCATTGCATGTCTTCTCCAGATGTTAACTGATGGACTGGAGTGCTGTGGATTACTTGTGGATTATTGTGATGTTTTTATCAGCTGTTTGGACTCTCATTCTGACGGCACCCATTCACTGCAGAGCATTCATTGCTGAGACACTGATGCAATGCATTTGTTTTGTTTGTCTCACTACTAGAGATGGTTATCCATATAGTTCAGTGAGATGCACACATATGAGCTGATGATAAACTCTCTGTGTGTGTGTGTGTGTCGTGACTCTTGTGGTGTGATGTGTGTGAATGATATCCCAGGAAAGAGGAACTGTGTATCTGAGGTCATTTGCTCATTTAACTGCATGTAACGCACAACTCTTCACTGTAAATCTACGCCCAGCTCAAACCGATGCTTTTAAAAAAGCTGCCCAGAATCATTCTGGACACTAAAATACTAGTTAACCACAGCAACACTTTACTGTAGTAAACTCCCACTAACACACGGACTTCAGTCTGAACACAAACATCATCATGAAGCCATTAAACAAACCAATCACTTCCTGTCAGGGACCTTCATGAGTTAATTATTCATTTACTGGAGAGATTCCCACTGAATCATCCATCGTGTGAGGATGAGCGTTCAGATAAAGACGAACAAACACACATTATATTGATTGTAGAGTATTGTAGATTGATTCTGATCACCATCAACACGAAACACTGCAGAGACAAACACTTAAATGACAGAAGACAGGAAGTCTGAGATCTAAATTAGACCACAAACGTCTTTAAACAGCATGTAAAGCTAGATAGCTGTAAAAAAAAAAAAGACTTATAATTCACAGTTATAACACAATGTAGCTGAAATGATGTCAGTTGTTGTTTCAATGTTGAAACACACTTCAACAATGTTTAGAACTAGCTATAAAGAGTTACTAAAAAGCATTTAAATGTTTCAATGTGGTTGAAATTGTGTCAGTTGTTGTTTTAATGTTGGAAAAGTTACAAATGTTTAAAGATAACTCTTAAAGTTAACAAAATATTTCTAAATCGGTTGAAATGATGCAGTTTCAGCATTGAAAAAACTACTGAAACAATGTAGCTAGATAATTGAAGAAAAAAAAAAAAGGAAAACAGAGAAGTTTTAAGACCCATGTTGAAAAGACATTAAAAGAACTTCCGGACATCGACACGGATTCAGTTTGTAAATTCATATGATTCATGATAATACTGCTGTGTTGGGTTGTTATGTATGTCTGAAGAGATGCTGTGGATGGTTGCTAGAGAGTTTTGTTTGGTTGCTAGGTGTTTTCTTCCTGTCTGGTGTGAAAGGTGTCTCTGTAGATGTGACTCGTGTTCTTCAATCGCTGGGATTTCCAGCAGTCTCCAGGTAAAAACCAGTGAAGCACCAGTGTGTTTCAGACATATATTAATACAGTAATACACACATATAACCTCAGCGATGGGATGACTGGAGCATGTGCTTCTTCTGACTGAAGGCTGTGTGTGTGATGGAAACTGGCTTCAGATCAGCTTCCAAAGCCTCATAACGTGACATTTAACCACCTACAACAGCTTCTCAAACCGAGCTTCACTCTTACAAATACAGCTGCGTTACTGGCGTGAAAGACCTTTAACATTCATGGAAACCTTCCACTGCACACTCTCAGAAAACAAGGTACAAAAGCTGTCACTGGGGCAGAACCTTTTCAAAAGGTACACGTTTGTACCTTTTAGATACTAATATGTACACTTTAGGTTCTAATATGTACCTTGAAGTTACCAATATGGACTCTTTAGGTACAAAGGTGTGCCTTTTGAAAAGGTTCCGCCCCAGTGACAACTTTTGTACCTTTTTTTCTGAGTGCACACAAGGTTCTTTATAGCAGAAGAAGGTTTTTAAGAGTTTTAAAATATTCTTCACACTAAGAAAAAGATTTTTGTTTTAGGAATTGATCACTGAAAGGTTCTTTGGGGAACCAGAAATGGCTCTTCTGTGGAATCACTGCTACAAAAAAACTAAAAAAACTTTTGGAACCATTGTTTTTAAAAGTGTGTAAGTTGATAACAAGCTTATGATTCATTTAATAATAAAAATGAAAATTAAATCACTTCAAATATTAAAAATAAAACACTTTTTGGTTTGCATAAATCAGCTGAAATGTGACTGAAATGATGTCAGCTGCTGTTTCAATGTTGCAAAAACCACTGAAACAACATTGAAACAATGTTTACAGCGCAACAGTTGTAAAAAACGTAACAAAATAAATCAGCAGAAATGTGCTATAAATGTTAGCGTTGAAAAAACATTGAAACAGAACTAGTCAAAGTGAAATATATTTATAAATCAGTTGAAATGTGCTTGAAATGATGTCAGTTGTTTCAGTGTTGGAATGTCATTTAAACAAAACTGATACAATGTTTAAAGCTAAATGGTTGCAAAAAAAAAAAAAGTTAAAATATTTATAAAACAACGTTTATAACACCCATGTAGAAAAGACATCGAATATTAATTCAATTAGTAAATTATGTAAGAAATAGTGAGTCAACCCTGAAATGTTGGTGAGTTCTTACATGTTCTCAAAGTAAATAATTGTAAGCCATTACATACATAATAAAAAAATTAAACACTCACAAAAAAAAAAAAAAGATTAAATATTTAACTTGTTTACCTGCATGTCGCGTGACCATTAACCAACATCAACGAGTTGATTAATGATTTAAATATTTAAATAATGCAAACTTAAAAAATCTCATATGGACGTCAAGGACACACTGTAGCTCTAAGAGGTTCGATGGATGAAAAAGTTTGTGAATCTCTGATCCAGAACAAACACAAGAGAGCTTTAGGAATAAACCTCGATTCACTGTCAGAATGAAACATTAGAACAGTTACAGCGGACATTTATGAATTCATTTAATTTCAAATCACTGTTTGTATTCACACCCACACATATAATAATATAAGAGCGCGCGCAGGATTGTGGGATATCACAGGCTGCTAAGGACACTTGAGAAACAGAGCAGATGACAGGAAGACACAGACTGTATAACGGGTCCAGAGCTCTCTCTTGAGTACTGAACGACAGCGCCACCTGCTGGAACAGCGTGAAGAAATCTCTCAGACGGGAAGTGTTTTTTTCACTTCATTTAATACACACATACAAAACCCCAACCAGTGTGTGTGTGTGTGTGTGTGTGTGTGTGTGTGCTACACAAAAAAACGGGTACAAAAGCACACAAACCCTCTTCAGCTACAGAAAAATCAACTCAAAATATTTTCCGCTCCTCACTGGAGCTTCCTTACAATCAAACGCACATCTTTATATGTGCTGCAGTAAAGGTCTGATGAGAACCTGAGGTTCTTGAGAAGAGCGTCAGTCGTCTCGCTCTGGACTCTCACTTCTTGCGGGGCTTCGAGATGCAGATCGGCTGCAAGCAGAACACAAGAAACGCTGGTGTTGAGCGTGAGTTTCTCATACCTCTGCTTCGGAGGTGAAGCTCTAGATTTGGAACAGCTGAGATTTAAGCAAAAACGCCTCTTATACACGTTTGTACCTTTTAGATACTAATATGTACACTTTAGGTTCTAATATGTACCTTGAAGTTACCAATATGGACTCTTTAGGTACAAAGGTGTGCCTTTTGAAAAGGTTCCGCCCCAGTGACAACTTTTGTACCTTTTTTTCTGAGTGCACACAAGGTTCTTTATAGCAGAAGAAGGTTTTTAAGAGTTTTAAAATATTCTTCACACTAAGAAAAAGATTTTTGTTTTAGGAATTGATCACTGAAAGGTTCTTTGGGGAACCAGAAATGGCTCTTCTGTGGAATCACTGCTACAAAAAAACTAAAAAAACTTTTGGAACCATTGTTTTTAAAAGTGTGTAAGTTGATAAGCTTATGATTCATTTAATAATAAAAATAAAAATTAAATCAGTTCAAATATTAAAAATAAAACCTTTTGGTTTGCAAAATAAGTGAACAAACTGATCATAAATCAGCTGAAATGATGTCAGCTGCTGTTTCAATGTTGCAAAAACCACTGAAACAACATTGAAACAATGTTTACAGCGCAACAGTTGTAAAAAACGTAACAAAATAAATCAGCAGAAATGTGCTATAAATGTTAGCGTTGAAAAAACATTGAAACAGAACTAGTCAAAGTGAAATATATTTATAAATCAGTTGAAATGTGCTTGAAATGATGTCAGTTGTTTCAGTGTTGGAATGTCATTTAAACAAAACTGATACAATGTTTAAAGCTAAATGGTTGTAAAAAAAAAAAAAAGTTAAAATATTTATAAAACAACGTTTATAACACCCATGTAGAAAAGACATCGAATATTAATTCAATTAGTAAATTATGTAAGAAATAGTGAGTCAACCCTGAAATGTTGGTGAGTTCTTACATGTTCTCAAAGTAAATAATTGTAAGCCATTACATACATAATAAAAAAATTAAACACTCACAAAAAAAAAAAAAAGATTAAATATTTAACTTGTTTACCTGCATGTCGCGTGACCATTAACCAACATCAACGAGTTGATTAATGATTTAAATATTTAAATAATGCAAACTTAAAAAATCTCATATGGACGTCAAGGACACACTGTAGCTCTAAGAGGTTCGATGGATGAAAAAGTTTGTGAATCTCTGATCCAGAACAAACACAAGAGAGCTTTAGGAATAAACCTCGATTCACTGTCAGAATGAAACATTAGAACAGTTACAGCGGACATTTATGAATTCATTTAATTTCAAATCACTGTTTGTATTCACACCCACACATATAATAATATAAGAGCGCGCGCAGGATTGTGGGATATCACAGGCTGCTAAGGACACTTGAGAAACAGAGCAGATGACAGGAAGACACAGACTGTATAACGGGTCCAGAGCTCTCTCTTGAGTACTGAACGACAGCGCCACCTGCTGGAACAGCGTGAAGAAATCTCTCAGACGGGAAGTGTTTTTTTCACTTCATTTAATACACACATACAAAACCCCAACCAGTGTGTGTGTGTGTGTGTGTGTGTGTGTGTGTGCTACACAAAAAAACGGGTACAAAAGCACACAAACCCTCTTCAGCTACAGAAAAATCAACTCAAAATATTTTCCGCTCCTCACTGGAGCTTCCTTACAATCAAACGCACATCTTTATATGTGCTGCAGTAAAGGTCTGATGAGAACCTGAGGTTCTTGAGAAGAGCGTCAGTCGTCTCGCTCTGGACTCTCACTTCTTGCGGGGCTTCGAGATGCAGATCGGCTGCAAGCAGAACACAAGAAACGCTGGTGTTGAGCGTGAGTTTCTCATACCTCTGCTTCGGAGGCGAAGCTCTAGATTTGGAGCAGCTGAGATTTAAGCAAAAACGCCTCTTAGGTTTAACAAGCGCGGGAGTGCGTCGGTGGCTTTGCTGTTTGCATGCGACAGCGAGTGTGTGACATGCAGCTCAACGCAAACCCATCTAAACATCTCATGATGATTCTGATACACCCATTTACTGCTCAAGAAACATTTCTGTGGAAACCGTGATGCATTTTATTTTTCAGGATTCACAGATGAATAGAAACTTCAAAAGAACAGCATTTATTTGAAACAATTTGTAACATTCTAAGTGTCTTTACTGTCACTTTGCAGGTCATTTTTAGAACGATCGATTCTGTCCTGAACTCTAGGCTACTCCACTGTAACTCCTGAGATTTGCAAAAAATTCCTTTAATTTTTTGTGGATAAAATTCAGGATATGGACCCTTTTTCACAAGACTGTGATGACATGTTTTATGGTCGTAAATCCTCGAAAGTTTTTCATATTTGCATTTTTTTTTAAATGTATGTACATTTATAACACTATTCTGTATATTATATCACCTTTGCATCAAAAAACTAGTTAACGCTAATGCGAGGGTGTTTCTAATGCAGCATTAATGCATCTAATGGTCAAAGTGGTTATATTTATTTTCATTTCTTTATTACGTTAATTTTGAAATATGTTTGGAACATTTTATGTTTGTTAAATTCAAGTTTTTTAAAGTAACGACCAAGTGGCCAGCGGCAGACAGTGGGTTGAGCATATGTTTGATCAATTTAGCCTTCTCAAATCATCACGACTTGCCTAAAATAAAATCTATAGATATAAAACACTTCATGCATTTCACAATATTCATTAAAAAATGTAACCTAGATAAATGTGCGCTGTTAGACGCATATCAATCATTTGTGCGAACATGGAGGCGCCAGTGTGATAACTAATTTTTTTCTTAATAAGAGTGGAAACTTAAAATACGCCGTCATTTTTGCTCATGAAGGTAAGAGTAAAATCGAAAACAAAAACTCTTTCATCAAGTAATACGTAAAAGATTTCTCTTTAAAGGCGCGTCCAGTGAAGAGATGGCGAGTCAGGATTGTCTACTTCATTTTTGCGACACGGACTCAGAAAACACTAGTTTATTAATAAATAAGTCAAATATCTCATATCAAATATACTTTTTTTTTGTTTGTTTTTCTTGTTTGTTTTTGGCTTCTGTGTCAAGATTGTGTTTGCGTGCAGTACAAATAGATTAAAAAATAAATAAATAAGATTAACATCATAATATTTTAAAAATAAAGTCAAAATTCTGATAATAAAATCATGTTTTATTGCATGAAGTTAATGTGAAAATTCCACCGCCGCCGCCGCCAAAAAAAAAAGTCTGTGGCATCCAACCTGTCATTCTTAACATTTAACATGAAAATGATGTGGTGTCCCACAAGGCTCCGTTCTGAGTCCTCTCCTTTTTTTTTTATACATGCTTCCTTTAGGCTCTATCTTTCAGAAATATGATGCATCTTATCACTCTTATGCTGATGATACACAATTTTATCTTCCTGTCAAGTCCAGCAATGGAAAATCTATCATAAATCTCCTGTCTGGAGGAAGTTAAAATGTGGTTGGCACAAAACGTCCTAAAGCTAAATGGAGACAAAACTGAGGCCATTGCTTTTGGATCTTCATTATGTGTCGCTAATATTGGAAATAGAGTCTTTAACACTGCACAACAGAGTCAAGAACCTAGGCGTTATCTTTGATTCTGACTTATTTGATAAGCAGATAAATTCTATCGTCAAAGGAAGCTTCTTTCATCTCTGATTCATCGCCAAATTAAAACAGTTCCTCTCAAAGAAAGACCTAGAAGTAGTGATCCATGCACTTATTACATCCCAGCTTGATTACTGCAATTCATTATATATAGGTCTAGGGCTGAGCGGTATATCGAGTTTATCCGATATATCGATATATTCTTTATAAGCGATGCGGTATGAGGCAATACCGCTTATAGCGATATACAGTAGTTTGATACGAGCGCATCTGAAAAATATAGCGGAGGACACAGACTGAGCTGCTGCGGAGAAAGTGCGTAATCTAAATTGTTCTAAACATGTGACGAGCTTTATATTAAGGGCTTTAAAAAACACGGAAGATAAAGTATAGTTTATAGTTTGGTATAGTTCAAAGCGCTGCTGACAGAGACGCTACTCGCGCTGTTTAATGTGTTTGAGATGTGCGGTTTTCCTAAACGCATAACTTACATTTCACAGACATATTTTCATTCTGTAAATGTTAGAAAGTCATGGAAATATTTCCATTTTGATGTCAGAACGGCATGAGCCTTCTGCTTTTGATTCTCCGCTAAACTTCACAGACTTCAGCAAACAGACGCGGAAAGAAATAGGAGCGCAATAATTCTGACTAAAATATACATTTCACTGAAATATTTGTAGTTGGACAATAAATGTGATATATGTAGAATTTTAAACCTACAAGTAAGTGTATTTTTGTGATATAGTACTAACTGTAATGGGGTAAATACATTTTCTTAGCCTATTTATTTTCATTTTTAGTTTATTGAATTTAACTTCTGCTTTAAAAGCATTATTTTTGTTTTTAGTTTGCAATGTTACAATGTTAGAATGAAATATGATTTTAACCTTTGGTTACATTCGCTTTATTTGTTTTCATAGCCTTTAATATGTATTGTTTCATTAGACAACATTGGGCGGTATGTGAAATATATATATTAAATATAGTTTTTTTTAAATCCAAATACAAAAATGAAAATACCGAGATATATACCGTATATCGCAAATTGGCCAAAAAATACAGAGATATGAATTTTTGCCCATATCGCCCAGCCCTATATAGGTCTATCTCATTCCTCTATCCATCATTTGCAACTGGTCTAAAATGCAGCAGCTAGACTTTTGATGAGAACTAGGAAGAGAGAGCACATCAATCCTGTTATCGCTTCCTTACATTGGCTACCAGTTAGATTCAGAGTTGATTTTAGGGTTTTGCTGTTTGTTTATGAAGCTCTGCATGGGCTAGCACCACAGTATATTGCTGATCTCCTTAAACCATATTCTGCATACTTCTTTCTGTTCCGCGGTCCCGCTTAAAGACTAAGGGTGACCGAGCCTTTGCAGTTGCGGACCCTAAACGGTGGGATCCTCTCCCACTTTGGACAGATTTAAATCTAGATTGAAGACTCATTAACTCTCTTTAGCCTATGGTGTTGCATGAGAATATCGTTTTTTTTAGTTGTTTATGGTTTATCTGTATGTTTTATCTTTATCTTAAGAGTCAGTTTTTTGCTTTTTATATTGCTTAATAATGTCTACAATTGTACAGCACTTGTTTTTTTTAAACGTGCTTTATAAATAAAGTGAACTTGAACGTTTTCATCAATTTAATGCATCACAGATTAATTAAAGTATTCTATTCTTTTTATTTTACCCCAAACTTTTAAATGGTAGAGTTCCACGCTTTCCACAAAAATATTGTGCAGCACAACTGTGTTCAACATTGATAATAATCAGAAATGTTTCTTGAGCAGCAAATCAGCATATTAGAATGATTTCTGAAGATCATGTGACACTGAAGACTGGAGTAATGATGCTGAAAATACAGCTGCGCATCACAGAAATAAATTACAGTTTAACAGATATTCACACAGA